TGAGGCCTAAGCTTAAACTTTGCACAGCATCAATTCTATTGCTTTCTACTGGGCAAAGCAAGTCACTAGGCCAGCCCACATCCAAAGGTTGAGAAAATAGACTCCGTCTCTGGATGGAAAGAGCTACGAAAAATTTATGGCCATTTTTAATTTATCACATCTCTAAACTTGATTTTTCTTATGATCTCAAAAATCCAGAATGTTGGCCTTGATTTTTCACTGGTGTTTCAAAATCAGCATACAACTAACTGAAAGGATTAACCTCTTTGATCTCTCCTTGGTTCCTGGCAGCCTCCTCCACATTGTCAACTAAGCCAGATAATTTTAAGTGTTTGTGTGTGTGTGTGTGTGGTTCTTCTTTCTTCTGTACTCTCAGACATTGAACTCATAATTTCCACACTCAAAGTTTCTTTTAAATATTTACTTCCTCTATTCCTTTGCTATATTCTAATGTACTTCTTCATCACATCTAGTTTGAAATGACCCAACTTTTCTCTGTTTCCAGACTAGCCAAACTCCAACCAATCCTTTATACTTTCATGGTTATCCTTCTAAAACAAAAGTTTGATTCTGCTGCTCATGTTCTTAAAATTTTCAGTGACACTCCATCATTTATAGAATAAAATGATACTAATTAGAATAAATAAAAATTTGACCCAAATGTTTTTTTACTGCCTCCTCTTCTTTACCTTCTTCCAGCTTCTGTCTCCCTAGCCCCTCTGATAGTTTAAGCATTTCATTTATCTGCTATTCATTCCCTAAATGTGCTACCCAATTTCAAACCTGCCTGCTTTGCTCCAGCGCTGCCTTTATTTAGAATAAATGCTCTCTTCTTTCACATCTGGCCACCAAACTCATTCTCATCCTTCCACACCTAGCATCAAAGTCACTTCCTGCAAAAAACTATACCAACTCCCTCAGGCAGAGTTATGTTTGAGTCCTTCAATCATACTTTGACCTTCTTATAATAAATGACACATACTGAAGTCATTTCTACTTCTGTAGTCTTTTTTAGGTATGAGCTCCTTGAAGATAAAGAAATTTATTTCAATGTTCCTAATGTTTATGAGGGAACATGACAAATTAAGAATGTTCAATAAATGCTAAATTGGATTAAAAAGGAAGTTATGAGTCCAGGTTAAAAGAGAATGGTATGAGATAGTATCTTTCACACTTTTTAGCATGTCTCATTAAAACATACATTTAACTTTGTGACCTACTACATGCACATGTGCACATGCCCTTGTACATACACACACACATATATAAACAGTACTTACCCTTATTATGTGCAATATCCTCTAGTATTTCCTATTGTTTCTCTTATATTCTATTTAGTTTTAAAAGTACTTATCCTTGCTAAGTGATTAATTAAATGACCCAAAATGTCTCTGATTTTGCCTAAGGCTGGGCCTGTTAATCTCTTAAATAATGCAGCAATATCTAGTATATTCAGAGGATTTATTGTTGAAATTCCTTGGGTGATGGAGATTGCACTGTAAAATTATGGCCAAAATTGCTTAAGGTTTTATAAACTAACAAATCTTATAAAAGTATTAACTTGCTAGGCATATTATGAAAAATCGAGCTTTATCTTCAGTCATTCATATTAGCCTTTCACATTATAAACAATTTTGGTAATAAACACAACAGGATAAAGGTTAGATTTAAGTACTGAAAATATATTGCCCTCAATCTCTAGATAATTTAAACAATAATTAAATTACTTTCATTTTTCTCATTTTTCAACTCCTGTCATCTCTTAAGGAATTTTTGTTGTCCTCAAATTTCAATATTAGATTTTGAAAACAACCCTTTTTCCATGTGAGGGGACAAAATATGTCTCTGGAAAAATACACACTTTTAAAATCTAATTTTACGTCAATTAAACTTATATTGTTATTATTAATAACTAAGATTGAGCACTTAACATAAATTAACTCCCCATGTGATAGAATATTTTAATATTTAAATAAAATAGTTCAATAAATTTCAATAAAATAATTAGCACTGATATAATCTTTTAAAGTATATTTTATTTTCAATTTTTCATACTTTTTTTTACATGTTCAACTTCTATTCAGATCAAAATTATAAATGAAACTTATTACCTTATTCTACAGCTAGATTTGTGTACATTCAAGCTTCTTTTTAAAATGCATTTAATAATATTTAAAAGAAACTGCACATATTGACCTTATTACCACTCAATCCATTCTGGCATGTAAAGATTTCATATTCTTAAATTTAGCATATATAATATAGCCTCAGTTTCCTCATATGAGTTATAAAAATAATTGAAATAGACCTCATTTAGAAAAAGCATCTCATATGCTTCACTGCTAGAGTAATCAATAATGCATCACTTATATAAACAACATCTAACTTGCAGTAATAGTTTCAATTTTGTGAGATTTGTTTCTGTATAAATTCAGAAATGTAAATGAACAGGTATTTATAGAGGTGATATAACGTAATCTGTACATATTTTTTCTTCTTTATTTGTAAGATAGATGGACAGCTCAGAACTACAGTCAGTTCTGGGGAATGACTTTAGAAGAAGGTTTCAAATATCGTCTTGGCACCTTGCCACCCAGCCCCATGCTTCTGAGTATGAATGAAGTAACAGTAAGTGTTTTCTTTGTTTGACTCATTAATGTGTGTGTTTGTATCGTTGTGTTCATATGTGTGTTTAAAGCGATTTTAAATAACTAAAATAGTGAGTTTTGAGTTTTCAAAGTTATAATTTTGTCATATAAATGAAAACCTTTCCAAATGGTTATCATATCCCTCAAAATTTCAGGTAGACTGAAAGTTCAGTAATATCAGTTTATATATTAGATATAGTCTCCTATCTTCAAGAACAATTGTGTGTTCATTAACATTTCTAATGATTTCATAGAAATTCATGTTTCTACTCATTGGCTCTTCAGTGACACAATGCTTTAGAAACTCATTAGTTGTCCTATTTTTCTTTCTTGAAGTAAACACAATTATCTTCTAAATTCATCAAAATAGAGTTCTGATATCTCTTGGACTAACCATTATTACAGAAGAATACAATAAATGCTAGCAACTGCAGACATGTATGCTATGATGATTACTAAAGGTTTATCCTCAAAAATCCTAAAAATTTCCATTGAAAGAACATCTTCAAAATTTGCCTGATGGCCTGGCAAACTCCTTAAATAAATTGTTGTGTTTCCTAACACTCTTATGCTTTGCACTATTGTATTGGTTTTCCCTTTCCTTTTTAAGAGGTGTTATCATCTGATAATAGATATCTTTCATGAAGAGGCTTCTACCCGTATAGTTATCACAGACCTCTAATTCATAGAGCTGCAGTTTTATCACCCGAGATATGTGGTGTCTCTCAGGTACACACTTTCCAGCTGAGATGTTGACTGTATTCAAGGCCCTTTAACAAATACCCAGGACAGGGCTATGCTCTCAGACTGCTGGAGTGCAGCCTCTTCACTCTGCAATGAAGATATCAGGTTTTGGCTGCCTGTAAGCTCTCAGCATTTCAAAGCAAGCGGGGCTGTTGTTTGCTCTTGGATAAATTCTAAATCCACAGGTTTCTCATTAAACATTTAATGTGCTTTGCTTTTGAGAGATGTAATCCCCCGAGTTAATCCAATTCAAATTCCAGCAGTAAGGCCTTCTAAATTATAACTAGTATCAGAAAAGATAATAATAGCTGCCATTTATTGAGTAGTTGTGTGTTAAGCATGCTTATAAGCACTTTCATACATCATTTCATCTAATTCCCACAGCAGCTTGATGTAGTGGGTACCATAATTATCCACATTTTAAAGACAAGAAAATTGCAATTGAGAGAGGTAAAGGCATTTTGAAATTGAGAGAAATGAAAAGCCACCACAGAATTACTTAAATTACAGAGCCAAGACATCTTAAAAGATCTGCCCCCGATATAGTCCCTAGAGTTTCAGCTTTGGCCCATTCAGTTTCAAAATAGCAAAAAGCCCTTTAATCTTTGAACCAGAGCAAATTTTATAAAATGATCAGTAGAGATGTATTTTTGGATCTTTTCTACAATCAGTATAATACAAAATATTTAGAGGTGTGGTTCAGATTCATGGATTTTAGTGACCTAACTGTATGATTAATTAGAAGAGTTATTTACATTTTTTTCTGGCTGTTTTCTTTTTTCTTTTTTTTTGCTTCATCTGGAATAAAAAAGAGGCAGAATTGTTTAAGAGAAGAATAAATTTATCTCTTTATAAGGATTGCTGTTTCTCTTGCTTTTATTGAGGGTCCTAGGTAGCCAAATACTCTTTTGGGTGTTTATATACATTTTCTCCAGATTATTTCTAACATTTTCTTTTTAAGTCTTAGTTTTTGCAACTTATAATATTTTATATTCTAGAGAAAATAAGAAAAATTTCTTTCTTAAGTTGCCACTTAAGAAATAGCATAGAAAAGGAAATCTAATTCTAAATCATCATTGGCTACTGGGATTTGTTTGCATAAAAGTCACTATGGTGATATTTAAATGAAAAACCTTGATGCTTAGTAATTTGAGAGAATTTAAATTACCTAATGCTATGAATTATTGTAATACAGTTACCAAGTATTTCCAGAAAAGCATAAAGGAAAGTTCAGCAGTAAGATCTGTAAGAGTTTGATTACCCATTTATGATGTAAGGCAAGGAAATAGCTCCTTGTTTCTAGGGCTTGAGGACCATGGGCCTTTTAAAGTTTCTAAGTGTTGGTCTCATCCTAATAAGAGATAAGATATAAGAAAATTAGAAATATAAATACTTCTAGGAAGAACATGAAATTAATATGAACTGAAGTACACTGGTGGCTATAGGAAGAGCTATAAACTAGTTTAATTCTTTGCCTAGTAACTACATAGAAAGTATCCCAATTCATGATAATGCCTTTGAGTACATCAAAAATAAATTATCTTTTGTGAATATGCTTCTAGATAACTTCCTCCCACTTTTTCTTAATTTTTAAAATATTATTTTCAACATAGAATGCTTTATGTACAGTTAGAGTAGGCAGCTGACAACAATGATAATAATTGTGCTAAGAAACTCCATTGCATTCCCACTCTAAAACATCTCCCTTGACCACATTACCTAAATGCAAGTTGTGTTTCACAAAATTCTCTATCCTGGGTGAAAAAGATGAGCCATGAGTCATCCTCACTTCCTGAGGAAGATTTTCTTTTCCCTGGTTGTTTTCCTGGCTTCATTCCTTCCTTGGCTTAACTCACTATTCTCAGAATGTGTCTGCCAAAGATGAGTTAGAGAAATATCAATAGGCATTGTACAAAGAGTTCCATGATCATATAAATATGAAAAAAATGTTAATCTCTATCAATTAGTTTAATTCAAATGAACTTTTGTAGAGGAACAATGAGGAATAGAAATATGTTGATAGTGGAGGATTGGAAAAGGTAATTAAGAATTTTGAATGGCAGTCCTAAATGAGGGCAGACACAAGGAAATATAAACTTGTTGTTTTCTCTAGGTACAAGCATAGTGGATGAAAGGAAGTAAAAAATGAGAAAGAAAGAAGACTGAGAGGGACCCTGCCTAGCCCACATAGCTTCTCGTACACAAAGGCTCCACTTCACCCACTTTAGGATTATGTCTAGTGTCAGGTCAACAAATGACAGCTAATCAGTTTATGCTTACCTTTTTCCCAAAGTATTATCTTGAGATTTTTCAAATTCATGCCTTGATTGTACAACTCTGTTCCAAATTGTTCTACACTAAAAATATTAAAAACGATTCAATGAATCGACCCTTCTCTGTCTATTGAAATGTTATATGTTGTATGAATAGACTCACAAAGGGATTGATTGGGAGCTGGCCTTCAGAAGAACTATAGCTCCCCACAAGAACTTTAAATTCTGCTCATTGTGTCTTTTGACATTTTATGATACAAAATAGGCTATGACATGGTTTAAACCTTATTTCAATATTTCTTAACATTTGTTCTATGGACCACTGATCTTGAAAGATTGCAAATAAAGGTATTCCATCAGTGGTCAAATAAGTTCGTGAAATGGTTCATTATATCTTTCTTCTGAAGATTTACACTATTCATTAGTTTATCAAACACATTGAGAACCCTTATTCCATTAACATTTTTTCATCCACTATTTCCTAAATTCATGAAATCAGAGAACCTTTTTGTTTGTTTGTTTATAATAATTGTTAATATTCCCCAGAATATGGCTCCACAAAACATACTTTAGAAAATGCTAACTTAAGCTAAAATATTGAAATAATGGTGCTAGAGGGAGCAGAAGAACATTCAGGGATAAAATAGAATGTTCTCAGAGTATCAGAAAGAAAACAATGGAGACAACCAATTATTATAACTGTATGCAAAACTGACATTCACTGAGGTCCTCTTGAGCCAGCAGAGATATCACAGTTGAAATCCGTTACTAGGCATGTGTAGGCAGCTGCATTTATCCATCTGGCACCATTCTGCATAGAGTGATAGACATGAGCTGCAGAGCTCGTGTGCTTGGGTCAACATGGCTCCCTCACTTATTTCCTCAGTTTCCTTCTCTGTGAAATAGTGATAGTGGTAGTACCTAGTTCATGAGGTTGTAAGAAATGCATAAAGCGCTGAATGAGAAGTGCTTAGTATAGTTCTTTGACTATAGTAAAACATTAAAGAAATGCCATTATATAATATATAGAATTGTTCCTTCTCCCTCAGATTAACCTTGGGAGTATAGCAGTATTCTGCAAAAGGCCAATTCTGTAAGGACTAAATTATCCAACTCTTCATCATTTGGAGTGTTTTATTTCATAAGGAAAGATATAGCTCTGGATTTATTGACTCTGATGGAGTTTACATATTTCTGGTGAACCTGAAAGTTCTACTATGTTGCGAAATCAAATCAAATCGTATCAAATCTAATCTAATCGACAGCTCTACCTGATTGTTTTTCCAGACATACTATTCAAGTACTTTTGAATTTGAGAAATAACTTCAAAAAACTTCACTGTGTTATATCCTATTATAAATATTGCAAATATTTGAAATGAAATATACTATTTTCAAACAGAAATGGAGAAATTGAGTTTATTTCTATACTCAACTCAGTTAAAATTTTTTCAAATAATTCTGTTGTTGTTGATTCCCCAAGGAAAACAACAAAGTTAACAAAAGCTGTTACAGATAAGTATTGCATCTAAGGTAAAGCTACTTGGAAACTATTAAAGCATTGAGAAGCCTGGCATAACATTTAAGACCTGTAGCTGCACTATCTTATATGTTATGAGACTGATGTATGTAAAAATGTTCTAAATTTTTTTTGTCATCCTCACAGTTTACTAGTACATCTTTTCTCAGTCACTCAATATAAATGACTTTAGCATATTTTAGTTGGCATTACTAACAGAGGAAAAATAAGTTTTAATGGTTGTTGGAAGTTAGAGTAAAATAATATTTTATGTATTACACAATAACTTTTAAAACCATTAATCATCGAGGTGAAAAATGAAAATTTATTAAATAACCTGAATACTTTATCATTGTCTAACATACTGTATTTTATTGACTGGATTTATTTCTCTAGTCATTAGTTGTAATAGGAGGAATTTGTTTTTCTCTGTCTGAAATATATT